GTATGAATGGATGTTATTAGTTTTACATAATTTTCAGACGTTGGCGTCGATTAACCCATGAAATGTGTGCAGATATTGAACTAGCACCATATTCTGAGAAATTTAAAGCCACTTCTCCGTCTATTCATTATCTTTTTGTCTTAAATCCTTATGCTGTGCAAAACCAAGTTAGAAATGTGAAAGATGGTCTCAGTTTAATTGACAAAAATTAGAAAATTCAAGACCTTCCTGACAACAATTGGGTATAAATATTTAACAATTCATTGTAGACGGTTTATAGCCGGTATTGGAAACACTTAGCAGGCTTTACAAGACATTGAATGCTTCATGAGAAAATTTGGATTCGCCTCGAATACACTTCCCTATCAATAACATGCATCGCTGCAAGGAATGAGGGAAAGTATTGAGGCTTCATGGTAGGTGCTATATATATTCCATATTTCTCTCCAACAACCACCGGACATATCCTGCAAAATTGTTTGGCTCTCTTTGAGACAAACTGCACCTCTTCTATGTTTGATAAGCAGCTGTTTCCATAATATGTGCGGATTAGGGAGTGTACGCGATATGGAAAGATTCTTAGCGAACATTGTACTTTGAGTCCATTTATGATTTGACGTTACCTACGACAGTTTATTTTCTATTTTCGGGAGTCTCACAGTTGCAAAATTAAGATGGATCGCTGACTTTCAAATTCATTTTCAAATTCGATTCCAAATCTTATTTTAGAGATACAAGTAATAATTCACAATAAGCATCGATTGGGAACTTGCCATAAATGAAAACCATTTGAAAGCTCGATATAGAAATAGCGTCGATCACCCGAATGGTTAACTAAATTGACACGATCAAACCATTTTTAACGTGTAAGTTTTGTTTCGAAGTAATGGGCGCCCAGAATGCGTTGCAAGTTGAGAATGATTGTTTAAACGAGTGTGAGGTTGTGTAACATCTTCACGGTTTTAAATTTCCTGTAAGAAATTGTCCATCAGGAGCGGCCTCGCAATCTGTTTATCACATGGGGGCTTCTACGCATATATAAAAAACAATTGCAAAATAACTAAAAAGCTGGACGTTATAATTGCACTTGCGGCTGTGCTCGTTTTGTGGGTGTCGAACCATTGTTTGTAAAAGTCTTAGCTGGTACGCCAAATTCACGCATGGTTTCTTCTTCACCACAGATTGGCAAAAAGCAATGTAGCTCACTATTTTCGATTCTTCTTTTGTTGTTTTTTCCTTTCTGCAAAAAATGCTTATAGTTACACTTCAACATTATTTTGTTATGAATCTCATATAATCTTCGTTTACTTACGTTTGTATGTTTTTGTTGTTGATATTGTATCATCGTGTTTGCTTGTAAACGAACAAACGTCAAATTTGCGCTTTGTTCTCCCATTACTTTTACGAAATAAATATCGAATGACGAAAGCCATACATAAGTCAAATTTAAGTGGCGTTCAAGTAATGTACGTCATCGACGTGACAGCTAGTTAGATAGAACATAGATAATCAGTAATTGTAATGTGTAATGTGCTCGTTGCAGTTCTTTGCGCTCTCTTGCTCTCCTTCATGGCGCTTGATTACATCGGATGTCGGGATCTAGCATCTAGTAATGTCTCGCTGTAATCAATGAGAAACACACATGAGCGATATTCGAATTCGTTAGAATTATTAAATTATTAAACCGGTACAACACAATAAAATATTTAATATATATTTCTAACTATAAAATAATGTATATATATACAGATATACATATTTCATTTTGTATATTTTTATACCCCCCCATCCTTAGGAGTAGGTTTGTTCATTTCGCCAAAACGTTTGCAACGCCTAGAAGGCACTTACAGAGCTCCCACAAAGTATATATATTCTTGATCACGATCAAATTCAGAATCGATTTTAAAATGTCCCTCCGCCCGTGTGCATCTCTCTCTGTCTGTCTGTGAATTGTTTATAGTAAACATTTTCTTGATTGCAAAAATATACCTTAGCTTCAAGTTTAGCACGAATTTTGAAAGTTTTTACAAGCAGGTCACTGTTGAGAGTGAGCGAATCGGTCACGGGATATGCCCACAGTGCAATGAAAAATGGGTATTTTTCTATTGCATATTTCGTTTGGGTGGCTAAGCATAAAAAATTCGGCTGCAGCTGAATACAATTCTCTTGCTTTTTTTTATTATGCCCTACACCACTACACTACACTACTACTACACAGAGTATATAAAGTTTGTATTGATGCATGCAGTTAAGATAAACACATCTTTCATTATTTATTGCTGAATCTACGGGCTGCGATGGACGAGATGTGTTGTGATAGAATTTGATACGCTGACGTGTTTTAGCTCAAAAAAAACCGATCATAAAAAAAAAGTTTGGAATTTTCAAAACCTTTTAGCAAGTTTTTTAACCCCTTTCCTATACGGACTTTTGAATTTTTCGACGAGAAGAAAGTTTTAAAACTCTTTCCTAATAATAATTTGACATAAAAGGTAACTATACTGAATTCCCACTGTAAAGGTCTATATTCTACAGAGCAGTAAGTCAAAAAGATCCACTTCTTAATATTTTATGACAAAAGTAAATGAATAATAATAAGAAAATTATATTTGTTGAATTTTGACCATCCGTTATTTTACAACCGGTCCTCTCTATTCAAGGGCTGTCATTAAGTGTATAACTTTATACGGAACCGAGGTGTAATTTTTCGCGAAAATATGTGAAGAGTTCTATTAGCCAAAGTGATGTAGGATGTGTAATGGCTGACGTTTTCCGATCATAATATGTTGACTTGTTCCTTGCTCCACCAGTTCTTTTGGTATAAATGCGCAATTATTTTTTCGCTGCTTTAATGTTAAAAGTTACAATAATAATAAATAGAGAAGTTATATGTGCATGTGTTTGAACTTTTCATAGGAACTGACTCTTTAAAAGAAAAAGCGTATCATAAATGGAATTCCGATGCTACATTATTAAGTGGGCATGACCGCTTTTTTCCAATTTTATGAAAACTTTTATCGCAATATCTGGTGTATGAGCAACGAGTAGAAAATTCAACTTTGTTGAGAACAAAGGTGTTTTTCTCTTAAGCGTTACCGCACATTGTACTTCGGTCAATTTAGCCCATTTCCAATACTAACCGGCCATATTTTGAGCCGAGAGACATGTCTAAATGAATTTAGAATTTGATTCTTGAGGAATATAAATATCTTATAGGGAACATAGCCTTCTCCTACGGTGGTGAGTACAAAAACAGCTTGATATATTAAATTTCATAATGAAAGTGGACCTGTAATACTACTTTGGCCTAAAAAATAAGTGTAGGAAGTTGAGTCACGTAGGCCTAATTTTTTGGAGGCTGAGATCAAAGACTTCCATCGGAAGAAAGTCTAATGTTTAGTACTTTTTTTTTTGCAGGAAATGAAAAATAAAAAGATTTACGGGAACAAAACTTATTTTACTAAATTAGATTCCGCTCAATTCACGCTTTTCGATCCTGCTCACAAAAGGCCAAGCTTTCTTCTTAATTATCCAGGAGTCGTGAAATTCTGAGAAGATGTTTGAAGTCCAACTTAAGGCTTTAAAAAGTTATACTGAGAGACAGAACGGCAAAGATGTCTAAATTAAATTTGCTTTCCACAGGGATTAGGAATATGGAGTCGGTTTACAGTTCTCTTTACCGAGCTAGTTCACGTGACGTACACACAAAAACAGTTCGACCGGTTTTTGGATTTTAGATTAAGTAAAATTCATACGCGATCGGATATCACCAACACAGTGACCGTAAGAATTTCCAGAGTATGAGCATTATGAACCTTGGCTTAGGTTCGTAAAGAGAACCTTTAACTGTCTCATCTATCGTATATACAAAGGCACCATTTCAAAGCATTATGCATTTTTGACATGTCCAGTGAAGTGCTTGTGGTCGATACTATAAAGAAACATTCTATTCACACACGATAATTCAGGGAACATTCAGGTATGGCAAATCTAAAGCATATATAACTTTGGAAGGGTCTAAACATTACATGACAATATTACACACAAGTTCCATTCTCTGGTCGCGATAATGAGAAATCTTTAAAAGAAGATTTAAGAGGATGATATGAAAACTTATGTTTTCCCTCAGTTCTATGAATATTGCACTTGATGAAGTCCTATTTACCCGTTCACCGGAAAATAAAAGTATACCGCTTGTGAGAAAAGAAAGCAAGTGCCAGAGATCCTAGAAAGTCTTCGTGGACTTTCTATTAAAGCTCGAGCTTGAAATTAATTTTTAATACACTGGGAATATTCCGAGTGAAAAAATACTACTTCATCTTGAATCTTATCTTTATCTTGTTCGTATGATACCGCGGAAAAGGTGAGCGAAGATCGACAAACCCGTGCCAAATTTACTCAAAAATCAAGTTGACGACAATAGCTTTGCTCAATTATCGTAGTGGTGTGCACTACGAATTCTTTCCGCCGAGTCAAACTGTTTATGAATATTTTTTGAATGTTATGCGTCGCTTGCGGGAGGCTGTTCGCAGGAAAGAGAGCGGCTTGGTTTCTGCGACCTTTCACATGGCACTGATCCTTTGAAACTATTTCGCTAAATATTCAATTCGTAGTCATCTGATTTAGTCGTATGTCACCTATTTTTATTTTATAAGCGCGAAAGACGGGTCTGGACCGACCATTGTGACTCGATTGAAGAGATATAAACGGAATTGAAACCAATTTTGAAGACTATTCCCGAGATCGACTATAACAACTGTTTCGGGGTTTGAATAGACGTTAGCTAAAAGTTCGAAATTTAAATATTTACGCCAACTCAATCAAGGAAGACAAGCCTTTATACAAATCTTTTAAAAAAGTTACTTAATTACTTATGAAAACATTTATTTACGTATTTGCTGCTAATACTGTAAAGATATACAACCAACTGATGAGCTCAACTGAAGCAAATAACTGAGAAGCAAAGCAAATCCAGTTTTCTCAGTCAATGCTTGCATCTATAATAATGCATAGCAATTATAAAAAGTCTATGGGAATTCGAGCCAAGTCATTAAATCGCAGATGAAAACAGTCGTTTTTTATTATTGCCGATGAAAACACTTTTTTTTTTTGTAATGAGTAGATTCGTAAAGTTCTACATTTGGATTTTTTCTAATCTAATTTATGTAAAAGAGAGTGGTAAGGTACCTCTGATAGCCTTAAAGAATGTGGTAAAAAAAAAAATGAAAGCAAAAAAATGAATTTTCAAAATTATTTAGCAACAATCCCTGCCACGGATTGTTTGTCGCAGTCGGGTATTGTGTTTCAAATGGAAGATTGGGATAATTGTACGTTAAATGATGGCCAACAGCCGGGCAAGTGTGTACCCCTGGAAGAGTGCCCGGAAGCTCTCAGGAAATGGGACACAGAACATATATATCCGAAAACTTGTTATTTTATTAAAAACCAACAAATTGTTTGCTGCAATTTAACGGAAAGAGACAACGATCAACAGAAGAAGAAAGACAAGCAATCAATTGTATTTCGGCCTCTCTCTAAGGGTTTGCAAACAAGAAAGAACGCTGCCTTAAGTTGCTAATGAAATTTCGAATGATTTATTTATAGGATGTGCAAATGTGAACCCAAATGTTCCTGCTCTAGCTAGTCCCACTCTGGTGGCTGATGCTCCTGCGATAGGTGTTCCCGCGATATCTCATGGCTTGCCAGTTGGAATAGATGAATTCCCTTTTATGGCAAGTAGTGCCATAGTGAAGAGTAAGATTTCCAAGGAAATTTACCTATCATTTGCAGGCTGTGTTGGGCTGGCCTTTAAACGTTGGCGATTCAATATGGTATCGATGCGGTGCAGTTTTAATAACTCATCGTTATGTTTTAACTGCCGCTCATTGTGCTGAATTGGGCGGGTGAGTGCTCATAAGTCGTTATTTACTTTTAATGTAAGTTGTTTCTGCTGCAAGCTTTGAAGGAATTTTTATTTGCTTAGAGCTCCACCCACCGTGGTACGACTTGGCGGCACAAGCCTGACCGATTCCACGATTTACGATGTGAAGATTAAACGCTTCATTAAACACCCTGAGTATAACGCAACTTCCATATATCATGATATTGCCTTAGTTGAATTGGAAGACGTAAGACACGATATAAGTGTATTTCAAGGTTGCCTTTGGCTTGAAAATGGTATACCTGATAATAACGTAATCGCTTTGGGTTATGGTCATACGAGCTTTGCCGGCCAATCTTCAGATCAGTTACTTAAGGCTTCACTGATGGTAATCCCTAACGAGGAATGCGAAAAATATTATCAAACTGATAGGGATGTGGCTTCGTCTGGCCTTGCTGACACACATCTGTGTGCAGGTGACCCTGAGCATTCTCGAGACACTTGTCAGGGTGATTCGGGAGGTCCTCTGGTTATGGACACGGGCAAATTTATCGTTGGTATAACATCATTCGGGTTTGGTTGCGCCGGCGCAGCGCCATCTATTTACACACGCGTCTCTTCATATATCGATTGGATTGAAGAAGTTATTTGGCCAGGCTGGTAGGATAATCTTCTTCTTGTTCAAAATACTCTACCCGCACTGTCTTTACTTATACATGTGTACACTAACATTAATAATTCCATCACTTCCTACATCTAAAGCATTTTCTTTAAGTGATTATTGTTACTCGTTATCATTGCCTTCATATATACGAACGTACATGTGGACACGCCTTAGAGTTGAGCGTTTACACCTTTTTAATTTTCGCTTCTTTTCGATCGAAGCTCTAATGTATGCACGTATGTAGGTAAACTCTTTGCAACCATAACAAATGAGATAAGAGCAAAAGATAAAGAGTTTCCGAGGATTAAATTATCTAAAAACTGTTTATTATTTTCTACGTAGAAAAATATAATTTTTGTAAGAAAGTTTCTCTTTAATGAACTAGTGAGGATGCGTTGACGCCCGGTGTAAAAGATTCAAATCAAAGCAATTGACAGTTAAATCGCTTGAAAAGCCCCTCTAGTGCCTCCACAATTTCTTCTCTTATTTCAACAGCAATGGTTAAGCAGTCACCGGGACTCTGGTTAATTTACAAATGCCGCAAACAGTTGTACTTCTCGTAAAGATTTCTTTAATGATAAATGCCTTCAACGCAGATGAAAAACACACACATATGCAGTCTAATTTTTAACATGTTATGACTGACACCACTTCGCCTATCACAGCTGTCCACTCGTTTTGATAACAACACACCAAGAATCAAAAATTATTTCCCTTCTCTGAAAGGATTACTATCCATGAGGAACTTTATATCGAACGGCCCACGGGATTCAAACTTGGTGAACTACATTTTTAAGTCAAACTGTTATGGCGAACCAGTTTTGATCACAAAAGATCAATAATTCGACTTTCTTGGCATATACGGGTTCAGCTTCTCTGAGAATTCTTACATGGGGTGATATCCAGAAAATAGACTTGCGTGAGTCAAATTTGGTAAGAGCGATTCCCATAAAAAGCTTCAGTTTTCGCGGGAACGAGAGAGAGAGTTCAAAAAATTGCCGAACGAAATTTTTCATATCAATTGAAGTGTTGCTATGCTGCGGTTAGCGAAACACTTTGAAAATCGCAATCTTTTTTCATATAACGACATTTGAAAAGAAGGCGTTATGTGATCGAAAGTGGTCGAAAGAGTAAATCGGCCCGAATCATTTTCAAGCGTTCGTCCTTGATCCAAAACACGTCGCCCTACCACATTTCATTGAAATGTCTCAAAACTTATGGCCTGTAGGTTGAAGATGAAACACCTTGACAGACGGACAGGCAAGTTTAGCTCGATCCCGAAAAAGATTCTGTGGGTGTCACCTATGCGTCTCCACAAGCATGCTATATGGTATCATTAGCAAAAGTGGATTTCTATTTCCATTAGTTCTGATTGTTTGAAAGTGCATTCAATTCAGTCAGTTGTGCGTTCAAGATGTCAAAGTACACCAATTCGTCTTTATCCGAGAACACAGTAGCAGTAGCGCTACAACTGTTTGAATAGCATTTTGGTACATTTTGGTACGGCTTCAGACCTCGGTTGACCGGGATGCATTTGAAAGAGGATTTTGGATTTTTAATTATGCGATACGTATTCGATCCGTTGTTCAAAATCCATTGATTATCATAAACACTTTTCTTCTTTTGCTCATCAAACAGCAGCTTAGGCACCCATCTTGCCACTATGCTGCTGAGTTTAAAATTGTAGATGTCCGTTTGGCTCACCAAACACAACAAAAAATGAAGGAATGAGATTTTGTTATCTTCTCCTAGGCCAGACAATAACTGATAACTTCCAGTAATCCCGTATTAGCCGTAGTTGAAGAGTGCTTTTATTTCCATTGCATAGAAATTTCTTCACAAACTTCTTGGAAACTGTGATATTATTGGGAGATGATGGTACGATGTGAGCATTCACTCTTGTATACAGCATGCAGTTTGCTTCTCGTTTCAAATTTAATCAACCACTTTTAGAGGCAAATGAATATTGACACGAATTTTTTCGCAACTATTCCCTCTCGAGCAAATTTTTTTTGCTTTTTTACGCATATTTACATGCAAGCTCCTGCTCCTGCCCCTGCACCAAAAAACACACGTAAGGTAAACAAGGCCATTAGGGAGAACTGCTAAGACGTGGCAAGCGCGTTTGTCATTTAAATTGCATTTTTTGTTGTCATGAACTAGCTGCCGCCTTTACATTACATAAGAAAATGATGGAAATTAATTATGTTAATATGTACATTTATTGAAATAATTAATAAATTAATTTAATTACATTTGTGTTTAATCAAAATACGAAGGCCTGCTGGCAAGTTTCGTATTAACAAAAGGTTTTCATAAATACATAATATTTAATTAATTTAAATGTATATGTATGTTTATATGAATATATTTTTGTTTAATTTCGAAGTTTATTCAAGTTTGGCGCAAACTCATACCTGCACATGTATGAATCCTAGTTACGTAGAAGTACATGAAATAATCCCTCAATCGCTAAGTGCCCCAAGATCGGTTACGGGTACTTTCAGATTCGGATTTGATGTTCACGAACGCATTTTAAATAATGGGGTTCCAAATACCTCAAAATGGGTTGCAAAGGGACTAAAACGGCATTGGCCTGATTATGGTTTCATTTTTAAGGTCCACGGCTGCATGCAAAGCCGAAGCATTTCAAATATCTGGCGAGTCTTGGATTAGCGCCCAAGTTACATAGAAGGATTTAAAATACGTCGCAAGAATTATTACGAAAAGACTCTGGATTAAGGTAAGCGTGTGTGCGCTTGTTCTTTTTAAATTTACAATACAATTGATTGTTAAATGCAACACTTGTTTTAATTTTAATAAAAGTTTTTTCCTTTCTTTTGCTTTCCTCTTTTCCCTTTCCCCTTTCCCCTTTTCTGTTTTTTTTTTTTTTTTTTTTTTTGTTATATTCTGATATTTCGTTGTTAAAGTTGTTGCTTTTTCGACATATTGTTATATTTTAATTGTAACATTTTAACGTATAATGGGTCAATGCACAAGCACACACTAACGAGCACATGCAGACATACATATGCATTAACTGAAAGTTTTAATTACTCTTGTAGTACAACGAGTAAAGCAAACCGTATACAATCCACCCTCGATATATATACATACATGCATAAGCGCACAATTGAATCCAAGCAAACGGCTTTTGTGTGTGCTTATTGATGATCGACAATAACAAGAGAAATGCAAAGAAAAAAGAAAAATGAAAAAAAAAAAAAATGAATTGAAAATAAATAAAAGTGAAAAGCTATTGACCCACGGTTAAGTTCAGAAAATGGGCAAGCATATATATATGTATAAGTATATATATATTCGAATTAAGGTATATATAAGTATATATATATACACAAAGGCAACCCTGCTTTACTGGCCGATTAAATAACGGATTTTTTCTTCTGATGTTGTGTTAAATCAAATGAAAAATTTTTACATTTCACGAGTTATTGTTGTTTTCCTGTTTTTTTTTTTTTTTTGAAATTTCGATTTTTTATGAATAATGTCATAAATTGAACGACAACGGCAACAGCAGTAGCAACAACAACGGCAAGACCACGGATAACAACAACAACAAGAAGAAGAGAAACAAGGGCGACAAAAATCAAGAGCAATCACGGCAGCAAGAGCAACAGCAACAAGCGCGAGAGTGTCAAGAGAACAACAGCAACAATACGAACAGCAACAATACAAACAACAACAATGATAATATAATAATAATAATAATAGTAATAATAAGAGTAAGAAGAACTCTGGCAACGCACTAAACTGGAGAAAAGTGGAGAAAATTAATTTTTTATAATTAACTTGTCATAATTATTATGATACATTAATATTTAACGATCTAATTACAATGTGTGCATGCGATAAACATATAAAACAAAATGGAAGAAAAGGAAAAAAATTTATTAAATTATTTTCCATTATTTTCTATTTTTATTATTTGTGTCATAGATTTTATAAGCGGACAGAATAGATTGGCGCTTATTTTGTTATCTAAATCAATGAGATTAAAAATTCTATTTGTGTTTGTTGACAAAATGCATTTCGGCGAAAATATTTATGTAACTCTGATAAAGGAAATAAAAACAAAACAAAAATAACACAAAAAAGAAGAGAAAAAAATAGGGAGAAAATCCAATTAAATATAAAATACGAACCAATCAGCCAACCAACGAAACCAACGAAACCAACCATCCATCCATCCATCCGTCTATCCATCCATCCATTCATACATCTATAAATGCAATTCGCACACATCTACAATTCATTTATTCATCCATATATTCATTTATGATAAAATTTGTCAAACAAAACAATAAGTCCCTATACGTCCTAGTGAGTGGAAATGATGCGTTGCGTTAAAATATATATACTTCTGCAAAAGGCACTCTGTGACAATAACAAATTTTTGTTTTCATTCTCGTAGCGATATCATATTTTGTCATACACATGACAAACGTGAACGGGACAAGGTTTTCCGGTACCCGTTAACGGTATTATATTAAAACTATTTATTCGGATTTCAACTTCAATTTAATTTAAAGTTGATTTATTAATCGATTTTAAAAAAGTTTTATTTTTTTATAAATTTACTGGAATTTTTTTCCCCTAATTTTAAGCAATTTTCTTAAAACAATATTAGAAAAGAAATTTTATCGAATTTATTTTGTAGTTTTCAATTTTAAAAGTTTAGTTAAAATTATATATTTGAAAAAAACAAAATATTATATATAAGATGGCAAAAAAATATTTATAAAAAGTTTTCTATAAAACTTTTGTAAAAATTTTATAAAGAATTTTACAAGAAATTTTTGTAAAAATTTTATAAATAAATCTTACAAGAAATTTATAAAATTTTTTAATACAATTTAAAAAAAAATATATTACAATATTTTTTATCGTCCTAAGAGTTTTCTTTTGGATTTAATGTAAAATATTTTCTAGAAAATTAAAAAGAAATTTTTGTATCGTAATAAAGTTTTAATAAAAATTTTTTAATTGAATGGGTTGCTAGGAAATCTGAAGCCTTTATGCAAACTGTACAAATAGTTTTAAAAAAATTTGTTTTCATAATTTTTAGAAATTCCTTTTTGCATTTATTTGAAAATATTTTCCATGAAGTGCAACTGCATTCCTGCATAGATGGCATTATCAACCCACAAACCACACTCAACATCTGATTTTAAAGCACCTACAGATCCTTCAGGAATATCAGAACAGCCTCCCTTCCACGCAAGGGACAACATTTCTTATTTACAAAGTCATTTAACCAAACGTGTACCTCATCCCATATGCGTGGTTTGATTGCATTTGTAATAAGTTTCAGCAATTACCGTGCACTATACAACTATGTATGTATTGTAATCCAAATATAATGGCAAAGTCCAAACGGTACATTGAAAAAAAATTTGGCCCAAATTTCAACTAGAAATGCGTTTTATTTACGATTACTTTTGGAACACAACATTGATGATCCTATACTATCCTCTTGTCGGTAATTGTTGGCGGATTCATATATCGATTATGAACTTTAAATGAGAAAAAGGTATTAAGAAAAATGTAAGACTGTTTTACATGGGCAGGTCACCGTTCCCAGCTTGATTTTCTTTCATTTTGACAAACTCCGATGCTCACTGCATGCCGACTACTACATAGAAAAGCGAATTAGCTTCGAAACGAATTCTAGTCACCCATAAATTCATCGAAACATAGTTGTATTATTCAAAACGGGTCATGTGAAATGCATAATCGGGACTAGTTTTCACGGAACCTTGAACAAATTCCCTGATCCCTGTTGTTTACGGCTTGAGCGTTATTGAAAGTATGTACAAATTTTTTGTTTGTTAGAACGTGTGAATTCTCGTCCATTATTTCAAAATTTTCTTGTATGCAGATTAGTTGAGAACGGGTGCATTCAAAAACATTTGTTTTATTTTTTTATATTTGTGACAGTAGCAGCTCAAACTGGTGCTGGACGGAGGGACAAATAAAAGTTAATTGATTCGAAATTTAATATAGTTCCCGCATTGATATACTATAAGGGACTCTTGATGCTTACTTCCAAGTTTTTCATTCGGAATAAAGACCATGCTCGTCCTTCGTCTTTCACCTTTGTTACGTAACTGATAATAACTAAGGTGCCTATAAATTAATCAATTTTCATTCGGAGCTTCTAGACTCAAGGCCATCATCTCAGGATGCGGCATAAATTTTTAGATGACTCTAAAAAAGCTTTAGCCCAATGTCTACCGCACACATATAGCTATTTTTAAAGATACTTTATACGTCGATGTTGTGAAGCGATATAAGCCATTTCTGAACTTTATCAGAGGAATCTTTTTGACAGACAGAATTTGCTTACCTTCGAGTTGGAAACTCAACGTGATTCATGTTGTGTCTATTTTATCTGCTTTCTGAAGCATACTTTTTGGTTTCACAGGTCTACTTTTCGATGGGTGAATACTTACCCGAATAATTCGAGGTTGCGATAAAAAAAATACAAATTTTTAAAAATTCAAACGAAATCATTTCTTTTTTGTATGGCGCACCCTGAACGCCTACAACTCTTTCGCTTACTGACTAATTCAGCTGACAACAGCAGCAATGTAAATGCGGACAGACACAAATGTGTGTTTGTGCGTGTGCATGTTGTGTGCATGTGTAGGCATGTCTTTCCCTAAATTTTTTCAATTGAACATTTCACGTCCATGGTGTCAATTTTGTTTTTATTGGAAAAATAACAATAAAAACGTTTAAGGGATTGAAAGGGAAGAAAGAGACGGCACTAAAATCGTTTATAAAAAGCATCAAATGTTTAAACATTTTTAAATCATGTTTTTCCACTGTAGACGAATACAATATAAACGACAAGTGCACTAAAAATGATTGCTTGTGTTTATCCAAATCGCATACACATGCACATACATTCATTCACATGTGCATACATATTTATATATTTATGCTGATAATCACGTAGGATCATAAAGTATCATACATTTCATGGCCATCATTGTCATGATTACTGAATGGCAAGCTGACAGGCAATGCCAGGGAGAGACACAAACAAAACGAAACAAAAAAAAAAAAAAAAAAAAAAAAAAAAAGAGAAAATAATAAAACGGTACAGTGCAACTGTATCATCATTTGAACGTGTTGGTATGTAATGTTCATTTGTTTACGTACAATATTGTACCTGAAGCAAAAGCAGCAAAAATCAACAGGACCACAGCCATCATCCATTTGTATGTCCTTAATATTATTGTTGGTTTAAGTATTGCAAACGAATATCATCGTCATTAGCAGCGTTGAGCGGAAGGAGTGAGAAGACGTAATAGATGTGTGGGGAGGGAAGAAGGAGACCGAAAGAGACTGAAAGGGAACAACATGGTGAGTGGGACAGGGACAGGGAGAGGGAGAAGGAGAGGGAGAGGGAGCGAAAGTGAGTGAGGGGTAGATGAACGAGAAAGATAGTCGTTGTTTGTATATCTAGTGCGACACGTAATTAAAAGGCAACAATTCATGCGGCATCCAGCCTGTCATGACCAGTTAATATAATGTAAGCTTTTTTAAGTAAATAAATAGTATATTGTATGTAAACACATAAATGTAAAGCAAATTCTATGTACTTATGTAAAGCACAAGTGCAATCACTCATGTACAAGTTTGCTTGTGTGTCCTCGCATCCCGTTATTTCTATTTGGATAAGTGCGTCCAGCAATTAATTTTTGATAATTCCATTAGAAACAATAGATATTTAGAATTTAAGCTCTTTGTTTTTGCTATTTATTTATTTATTTTGCTTTTCCGAATGATTATAGTTTCCCATAAATAAATGCGATTATCAAGAAATCTAGCTATACAGCGATACGGTTTATCAATTTTCAAGCACTAAACTCATTCAATATTTTCTCTTTTTCTCTTTTACGTTTATTTAAACTAACATGATTTTCAGTTATTGTCAAAATAAAATACGAATTTATCATTGAACACAACAGTGCATAAATATATGTATTATTTTTACACAGCAACTAAAAATTCATTGACGAGTGATTTATGAAATTTCGATGACTCAAAGTCAACATAAGCTCGTTTTAGGTCAGGACTTGTTTTTCTAAAGTTAAACACTTCTCACTTGAGTCCATGTATTTACGAATGTATGGATGAATATTCAACTTACTTGCTAGTTTAGCTGTAACGGAGAAAACTTAGTAGAATAAAGGAAATGTTAGTGGAAGAGGATATAAAGGTCCACAGTATGGCACAATTTTGTCGCGCCAGTGCTTTTTTCGCATTTATTTATTTTCTTGGGGGTGAGGAGACGAACAGTTATCTACAGAGGAATTTTGTAGTCCTGATAAATCGTTCTTTTGTGCACATGTACGATCGCATTGGGTCTTGCGAAGATGATTAGGTAAAAGCATTTTCCGTTACCCCTTTAATAGACTTTTCGCAACCGATTAAGAAAACAAAAAGAGTTTTTTAAACGGAATGTATTGTTCCGGTAGCCTTCGCAATGAAATCGAGAAAAGTAGAGGAGATTTTTAAACCCCAGCATTTTTCCGGTCAACTTGAAAGCATATAAAGGCGATTTCCCAACCAAAAAGGCATTTACGATAGGATATTGATACCGAATTAAGAAAACGGCAAATATTCACCCGCAATACCTTTTGAACAACCGAAAAAATTCTCGGGCGTAGTAAGGCTACTTTTTACATCTCTGGAATCCAGTCAGATAATAAGGGCATTTCCTAACAGCAAATCGACCTGCGTAAAAAGGATCCTGAACCGGAAAGTCCAATGTCCAAAAAACAATGAAAATATATGGGAATTTTCCGATGGCAACACCCTTAAGGCAGATCTCAGTAATCCCATTAACGTAATAGCTTTTCTTCAACCGCAATATCGTTTTGGGAAACTGATGCAAGAGAAAGAATTTCCAGCCGCAATAGATTGTTTTAGGAGGCTGTTTAATAAGAAATTTAACCCGATTTCCCGACCGCAATGTCGTTCTGGTAGCTATTGGCAATCCGGTTAAGACATTAGCAATTCTTCAACCGCAATACCATTTTGGAATGTGTGAAATGCCGATGCTATGGAAAGAATTCCTAGTC